GGTATACTTTTAGATGGCTCGTGGGGATTTCAGTGCTACTAGTTACTCCGTACTGTAGTTTATGAAACTTAGCATTGATTTCTACCCAGCTAACTGGCCGACATAGTATGGATAGTTTTGGGTTCACAAAACTTTTGAGGGAGATATATAGGGGTCGGCAGGTCAATTTTTTTTATTTCATTTTCTCTCTGTTTCTCTGTTTTTTTTTTCATGACGAGATATATATATAGCTATCTAACCCAAGAAAAGTAAGCAAAGCTCCCGAGCAATAACGATATCAGAACATTTTCGATCAGCGGAATCCCGTTTTGGTTTGGTAGGTTACAGTGGGGGAGGTGCAAAAGCGGAAGGATTCCTCTGTTCTCCACTTCCTACTAAACAAAGCACTTTGTCATTTCAGCTGCAGCAAAGGAAAACCACGTGCGACTGCTCGAAATCCCCTAGCACTCATTTGATCGATGGTTAATCTGGACCCTTTTTCGATGCTCAACGCTTCCAGTAAGTCCCATAGTCTGCACCGCAAGCTCCGCAGATATTGCCCGTCCTAATCCTGGAAGAAATTCATGATAGCCTTGATCCCCTTCGTGCCAAGTCCATGCGGCGGATAAGCAATCCAGAGCAAGTCCTCGACCGCACCCATTTTGGCTCTGAATTCACTCTTCCTCGACAAATTGAACTGCTTGACTGTGGTATCGAAGGCATGCTGCAATAGCTTGACTTTTCTGCCGCTCAGGTGATGGCCAGGGATCAGATGATCCGTTGCCCCGCCGCCAAAGGTCAGGCTTTTGATGCCGCTTGCGGCAGCCGCAGAGATAGCATGTGTGGTGATATACTCGATTGTGCCGCTTGGTGCACCGGGGAAGTCGAGCGTGTACTTCGCTTGCCAGCCGTAGCGGGGTGCGAGCATAGCGAGAACGGCGATACCGCAGATCTGGCCACTTTTGTCCTCGGCGTAGAAGTATCGACGGTGCGCTTCATCGCGGAAGAGGTCGATTTGGGACAGATGGATTTGCGTGCCCTTGCGGTTAGCCAGCCAGTCTTGAACGCGCGCATTGGCTTGCTCCTTGATCTGATCTGGAACGGGCTGACCCGCAGGCAGGTCGGTGATCTTCACACCTTCCGATTGGGCGTGACGGATTTTACGTGCCACTTCACAATCAGTGACGGCAGGGTTTCTGCTTGGGTCAACGCGTTCGTCAGCAACGCAGGTAAGCGTCTTCCAGCCAAGCCGCTCGCCCAGGACTTCTTCAACCTCACGGCTGCAAAGGATCCAGATGGGCTTGAGTTTGGTTTCTTTGTGGAGCCACCGGAGGAAATTTGAGATGATGCGAAGATACTGGCTTGGATCGCAAAGAGGGTTTCCAGGCATAATGGCGAAACTATTGGATGGAACATATGCCACCGCTGCACCAGTGTGAATGTCTCGCCAGATCTGGTATCGTTCGTCGCCCCAGGACGTGGAAGTGGCGTCGCCATAATTAGCAACAAGGTCATACAACGAAGGCATCTCTCTCTCCTCTATACTCAGCATGCTGCCATCTTCCTTTCTCCAAGCCGGTTTGGTTGTATCTGCTTCTGGATGTGGTAGTTTCTCAACCGCGGGCTTGGGTGGGAATGACTTTGGATCCCGATGGAACATCGAGGCCAGGCGGATGTTACCCAGTTGGAGAATAAGCATAACAAGTCTTTCTAAGCCGACACCGGCTCCAGCATGTGGAGGAGCGCCCCATCTAAAACCTTCCATGTATTCTTCCATTGCAGATGGATCTATCCCAACTTTGTGCATGCTGTCCTCTAGCATCCGAGGTTCATGGATACGCTGGCCACCAGAAACAATTTCTTGACCTCTGACGAAGATGTCAAAGGAATTGGTGTACCGAGAATCCCTCGGCGATGGCATTGTGTAGAATGGTCGTGCCGACCTTGGAAATTGGTCAAGGATGTAGTAGTCTGTCTGGTACTTTTCCTTGATGAGTTCTCCCAGCCGTATTTCGTCCCTTGTGCTCAGATCTTCTTCTGGACTCGGCGGGTTCCCGTCTTCGTCAAGCCAGCCCGAGTCGGCGAGAAACTGCACAGCGTCTGCAAAGGCGATGACAGGGGTTTTCTCTAGCCAAACAAGGTCCTCGTGTGGAAATTGGTTTTTGATAATGTCTATTTCTCGTCGGTATCGCCTATAAAGGCCTGAAAAGATGTTCTTGATCGTTGCATCCAGCACCTCAAGAGCCTCGTGGTAGTGTTCTTCGATTGCCATCTCGATGTCGAGTCCGGTGTACTCCGTAAGGTGTCGGTGTGTGTTGGAGTTTTCGGCTCGGAATACAGCCCCGATCTCGTATACTCGTTCAAAATCGGAAGCCACAGCCATTTGCTTTGCCAACTGAGGTGATTGTGCAAGGAATGCATCGCGTCCGAAGTATCCAACCTTGAAAACACTTGCGCCTGACTCTGTCGCAGCACCTTGGAGTCTGTTGTCTTGTTAGTGACAGACGCGTATTGAGAAAGAGGGCACCTGTACTTTGGAGTGTGGATTTCAATAAAACCTTGTTCGTCCAAGGCGCTTCTAAATAGGTTCCCGACTGCAGACTGAATTCTAAAGATGGACTGCGAGGTGCTTGTCCGTAAATCTATGATTCTGTTTGACAGTCGCGTCCGATCTGAGACTTTGCTCTTGCGGCCCTGTACACAATCCTCATCATGGACCTCTAGTTCTGCCTCCTGCACGGAAAATGGTACTGTATCAGTTAGAAATAGTCAGCTTGCCATAGCTGCACATCTGCTTACCAGGTTCAGCTCTTCGCACGATAAGCTTCACTTCAGTGATTTTGACTTCTAGATCATGTATGGTGGTTGATTTGACTGGGGCTTCAGGCTTCTGTAGCACACCCTTGATCCTTACGATTGAGCCTCTTTGTATATGTTCTGCCCAGTGAAGCATCACTACCGACGATATTCCAGGGATTTCGTTCAAAACGCCTTGCATGGTGTGAATTTGTTGCCTGAAGACGAAGAAGACGAGCTTCAATCCCATGCGGCGTATGTGGTGGAGCCTTGCCCGAAAGACGATCTCTTGACCTACCATGTCCAAAGTCATGCTCGCAAACTTGATACGGTTCTCCCCAGTCCTGTCCGTCGACTGTATCAATGGCAAATCCCCATAACGACTTTTCATCTCTTCTGTTTCGTGCTTAGATGCCTCTTCTAGCTTATTCTTCATTCTTTCTTCAGATGAGTCTTTCTTCTCCAAACTAAGGCGTGACCGGGACTCGCGCTGTTGCTTCCTGGCTTCCCGTTTTTGTGCGTTCTTGCTCTTTCCTTCATCAGCCTCGAGATCACTGAAGTCGTCGCTGCTTGATCCATATTCCTTGTCGTGGAAGATAGCTGTCAGGGATTTGCGAGGATTAAACGAGCTGAACGGTTTCGGAGAATTGGGAGGACTGATTACGGGGGAATCAACGGGTGATGATCCGCACTCGGATTTTCGGTCGCCGTTGGGCAAATGGTGAATTGCCTTGGAGAGCTTCTTAATCACAGACATATTGAAAAGAGGTGGCCTCGGAAGCCGCCTGACTGACTGTCTGATCGCAAGAAAGGTGGAAGCAGAGATAGATGTGAGAGAGGACTGTCAGTATACTTGCTGGCCTCGAACTGTGCCGAAGCTATGTCCACGAGGCCTGTCAATGCAGGCAAAGCAGAGGGGCAAGAACTCGAACAGGGCGCAGAAGCAGACCAACACCAGTGAAAGAGAAAGAGAAAGATGGAGTGTTTCCTCGAAGAGACAAAACCTGAGACAAGGGTATAGATAACTGTTTATGAGCTCATTGCCAGGGTGGTCGAACTAAGCAGGCTTCGGGTGACAATGTCATTGTACCGGGCGAACCGGATTTTTGGCAGGTACTAATATGGCAAAGGGTAATGCTATTCACCAAGCCGGGCGTGATCAGCTGAAACACTGTGCATCGCGGAGAGTGGATGGGAATGCAGCCTAAGCGCATGTGCATTTCCTGTTTCTGCAGTCCGCGGGTGTGTTCTTCTCGCTAAATCGCATGATTGCCCTTCCTCCACCCCCCAAGCTTTAGGTATGTGAACTTGGTGTTGACTGCTTGGCTATGACGTAGTAGTAGAAGCACCCCACGTCATTCTGAGGGCTCATCATGAGAGTGAGACGACCCTGCGCATGCAGAACGGTACCACAAAGACAACGAAACATTTTTGGCATGGGCCTTGACGGCTGGTGAACAGATTTCGCGTCTGGAGATGACAAGCCTTGATATATGCGGTCGGATGGGATGTCGTGTAAATATACCATATCTTGAGCAGTTAGACCCACCAAGGCTCAGCCGCATTACAACTACATTTTACGATACTGCGATTGGTTTGGAAACAGATTGAAGCATTTTCCAAGTCTTTCATGCAGGTCCAAGTGTCTGTATCCAAGACCGAAGACGCGCAAGCTGATTCCATATATAGCACTAGTTGAATCCTATCTTGGCTTTGTACGTGGCGTCTAACATAGTAGTCATCCATTTTCTATTCCCACGATAGTATACTTGGCGCAGCAAGTCACCTTACACTCAATGCCGACTTTGCTGCCCGTTGAAACCTCTAGCGGGCAATACGTAGTAGAGGTTGCTGAAGTCACCAAGTTCGCAGTATGTCAGAACCCCTGGAGCCGTTTCCAACGTCAATTCAGATACTCGAGCCAGGAGATCCACCTTCGTCCGCTTCTACATCCTCGAGTCCTGCGCCGGCTCTTCCACATTGGCAAGCATCGTCCGAAGATCGAGACCAGAAAAGCTTCAGACCAAGATCGCTAAGTCATCATCTACACCCTTCACACCCTGCACCCCCAAGATGGTGGCTACGTGCGCAAGCAACGTTTTGGCGCACCCTCATGTCGTGCAGCATGTTCCTCCATGACTGGGCGCCCCCTCGGCCTCCAGTCCCTGCCTTTACACGCTCGATATCTACCGAGTACGATCATCCACGTTCACCACCAATCCTATTATTCTTCTACGTTCCGCCAGACTACTTCACCAGAACAAGAGATGGGCACCGATATCCCGTAGTGATAAACTTCCATGGCGGTGGCTTTTCTCTAGGCAACGCCACAGATGACAGATACTGGGCCAATGTCGTTCTGCAAACAGTGGATGCGGTTGTGGTCTCGGTAGATTATCGCCGAGCCCCAGAATTTCCTTTCCCCACTCCAGTCGATGATAGTGTGGATGCTGTGCTCTATCTCGCTGCGCACGCTGAGGAACTTGGATTGGATTCAACCAAAGTCGCACTCTCCGGCTTCAGTGCAGGTGCTAACCTCGCTTTTTCCGTGCCTCTGCGACTCAACTTCCATACCCGAAAAGGTCTCATGAGCAGCGAGGACCTGAATCTGCCACGTTGGCCATCAACCCAAAAGCTAATGGAATCAGCCACCAACCTCAAAATCGTTAACATCGTCGCCTTCTATCCCCTCCTCGACTGGTCCTTGTCCCGCGATTCCAAACGCCGAACCAGCCGCAAACCCGAAAAAACTCTCCCTAAATTCTTCGCGGACCTTTTCGATTACTCCTACCTGCCACCACCGGACACTATGCTCCATGCCTCCCCCTTCGTCTCACCCGGTCTGGCGCCAGACTACATGCTCACTGAGGGCCTTCCCCACGATATCCAGATCTTTCTCTGTGAGTGGGATATGCTGCTGAAGGAGGGTGAGATATTCGCCAGGAGGCTAGAGAGGTTGGGCAAAAATGTCATAGCAACTTTGATACCGGAGGTGGTGCATGGTTGGGACAAACATCCTGATCCGTGGCGGGATCAGAAAGCTATTGATGCGTTTTACGCTAAGGCGTGTGACGGACTTCGAGAAAGCTTTGGCATTGAAGGAGAAGACAAAGGAGACAAGAAGGAGGATTCATACGATGAGGATAAACATTTGAGCAGCGCATGAAAATGTGAAGGTGCATTTTAGCGATGGTGTTTGATTTGAAATTTTCGCCTTGATACTAGATGCTAGTACCGGTGGTATGCAAGCTTCCAAAGACATAAAGTCAATAGGGTGGGATCACGACGAATAAACATAATGTATAGAACTCATGTAGAAGCGGGTATAGCGAGTAAATCGACCCAACCCGATAAGTTGTGTAAGCTGAACAGTTCTAGGTATGTTCTCTCACCGTTGATATGGTCACGAAAAATGAGGCAGAATAACCAGAATATTAAAGAAATAAAGAAGCGCCTGGTTTAAGGGCATATCAGGTGATGAGGACATGGATTGGAAGAAGTCATCAGAACTAGCTGATACATCTTCGGGAGAGACCAATTAGTTTACTGAACAATATGGTATGGGTGTCCGAATGAAAAGCTCAAATATATATGAATTGTGCAAATCGTTACCCCAGAACATGACATGAGGTCTGCCTCTCGGTTCACTCCTTACCAGCAGTGATCGTGCCATTCTTTATCCCACTGGTCTCTAGCCAGAAAGTGTGAGAACCGCCATCTTAGAACATGGGAAGTGCCGAGTGCTCCAGCTTTGTTTTCAACGTCGAATAAAGGCCCTGCATCATACCTCATCTCGAGTCCTGGAGAAGGGTATCGTGAGCTTTTGCGTGCAGTCCCTCCACTGAACAAAACCCCTGTACTATCTTTGACGGGTGCTGCGATACTGTTCAGACGTATATCCTACCAGTTCTACATGCAAATGTTCAATTGAAATGGATGCAAAACGTGAGAGACACACGAAGTGAATGAGAAACATTGAAGTCAACGTGATTTGAATACAAGAGATTTGTTGGATGGTAGAAATCAAGACCATAAGCATTGTATGATGTGGCCGAGAGCTGAGTGAGCTCAATCAACACGCATTGGGGTTTCGTGTCACAAGAATCAGGCGTGGTCTAAACTTCGGTGATATTTCGGTCATCAGATTTTGTTGGGTCGGTCTAGATAGTGGACGCGCGACAGAGGAAAAATTCAAACTGCCGAACATAAACGCCAACTACAACGAGTTTTCCTGCAGAGCAAATGATGATGACGTTCGTGCATGCATGACTTGAGACTTCCGATGACAGCGGAAGGAAATAATCGGACCGGAAAAATATTTGCGCGAGGCAAAATAAGTGTTTCGGGATTTTGAGGATAGAGTGAATCAGGAGCCGTCTAGACCAGACCTTATTCTAAATCCCGCATTGTAACAAAGTAGACAACAGAGTACAACCATGTAATATCATTAGGATATTGCTGTCCTAAGCCTGATCTCCATGAGCACCACAGCGATTCTGTCATCGGGTTCAAGGGGAATTAGATGTTGAATTTTATGAAGTTTCCTTGCTTTTCGGTGTCGTCATCAGCAACTTATCATGTAATACATGGTTGTCTCGACTACTTCAAAAGGTCAGATACAGCCATTTGATATTGTTTGACCAATCTGCCTGTGGCGATTCGTGTAGTCTGCCGGCACACTTGCTTCCAAGAACTTGTCCACGTAATTGCCGCTGCATGTACGCAGGAACCAAGCTATGTAGCTGACGGGTTGCAAGCCTTGCAGGCGCAAATCGGTGAGAAATCATGATGGCTCATTATCGTGACCGCTCGTAAGTATGGTGCAAACCACAGCACAAGGGCGCATCCCAAAGTCGGCTCTGGGGGCTCAATTTGGTCCTTCGGTCCGATGGAACCAGAAGCATGTCGCGCATATCACGAGCTCTCGGTAGCATCTATTTGTCAGCTGGGAGACGAATTGCCTATTTCGATACCGCATATTTGTATGACCGAGAGCTCAAGGGCAACTTCCTCACCATCAAACAATCACACTCAGAGGCTGTATTTTCCTTGGCATGCGCTCACCCATGCTGGCATGGGAGTTGGCGCCATCAAGCGACTCATCGACTGAACGAGCCGAACCCACCTGAGCCTTGTACATAGTAGACTTCCGGATTTTGTACCCGACTGACGAGAGAGCCGACAGTTTCGAGTCGTTCAATCTTTAAAATATGTAGGGAAGAGATGTACCGTAATAGGGACCGTTGTGCGGAAAAGGCGGAGACTCAGGAGCTGCATTCGTAAACGAGTGTTTGAGGCTAGGTTTGAGGACCGTGAGGAGATCGCCTTGGCAAACAAAGTTGCCCTGCAGCTGCTAGAGAACTTTGCTAGACGGAAAATTGGAAGAATCACAGATCACTTGCAATTTCTTCGTGGGCAGCTGTCCAACATTGAAAATTTGTTGAATGGCCAATAATCTGTCAGGTCTAGAAGGAGCAGGAGGCGAATTTGAGATCGCTCTCGGTAAAAAAGCCACTGTGACAGAGCTGTAGCCCTCGTTGTGTACGTAGTAAGAGGACCGCGGGAGAACAAGGGCAGCTGCTGATCGCTAACTTCTGCGCGGAGGTTCGAGCGTTGAAATCCAAGCTGCTTACTACGTACTCTTATCGTACTAGCGGCGCTCGTAAATCCTTGTACTACGTTGTGATGAAATCGATCCGCTGGGGTTAGAGTTGACGAGAGACCCCCACTGTCGCCATGAGCCTTCAATTGCCTCCAAAACGGTATCAAGCAAAAGATAGAACTCAGCCTAGCAACCAGCATCTCGTCAACTCTGATCAGCAGCGCGAAACACCTGGTTTCTTACGTGTTATGATGTCGTTTGAGGTGGGAAATGAGATGGCTGATAGTGGGGAGATTGCATGCCAAAATCCATTATGTTTCCAGGCCAATCCAGGTGCAGTCTAGCCTAACTGTCTCAACCAAATCAGTGAGGCCAGTCAGCCGAGTGATTTTTGCAAGTGGGCCTTATCATAATATGGCTCAACCGGCAGTAATGACTCCGTAACCGTTCGGCATAGCATGGAACCTGAGGTGGGCTGTTACGGCAGGCAGTACGGAGTAATAGCTAGCACTTCAGTGATGGTGCTTTCTTTCCTGCGCGATTTCCTCATATCCTCACTCCAGGCTCAAGTACCAAGGCGATTGCGAAATGAGGAAAGCTTAAGCAGCCACTAAGAACCTCGCTTTTAAGCCGGCGGAGAAGCTGTTTGTCCTCTTAACACCCTATGTTACTTGATTCTCTCACCTAAATTATTCCTGCTAGGTCGTTGCGGAGAAAAAGAGTACCTTTGCCCACCTAACAGAAGCTTGCCAGAAGCCTAACACGCAACGCTGCCAATTGACCCACGCTCACTGCTTACTACGGCAGAAAAGAGGGCCCTGGTAACAAATGGCCTTCTTTTCCACTTGAAGCTACTAAAAGGTCCCTAGCTAACGAGGTCCTCCAGTAGCTCGCCCAGGTCCTCGAAATCGCAGAGCGACCAAAAGATAAAGAGGGGTTCCGTTTCTCGCATTGCCTTTCCCTTGCATCAACACAATCTCCAAGACTTCTTCTCTTCTGCTTCCCCACTTACAACTTGTCGACATCATAACACGCATTTCAGCAATAGCACAAACACCTCAACAATCAGCCTTCCGCCGCCTGGGTTCGGAGCTCTTCCACCCACCTTTTCCTTTCTCCTTTGGTTTTGCTATCCACTCTTCACAACTTAATCAAAAACAATGGCGACCGAAAAGGATCTCGAAAATGGCGATCCTAAGCGGGAGAGGATCTCCTTTGCTGGCGGATGGGACCCAGATAGGACCGAGGGTGAATATGCCGACCTCATTAGATACATATCAACCTACCGAGATCGTCGCTTCTCCAAAGCTCCCAGTATCAGTAATGCCGACGAAGTTGATGCCACCATCGAAAAGAAAGGCTTCTTCTCCAAGCTGCTGGGCAAAAAGTCCGCTTCAGAACTCTTCGAGGTGCCTGAAAGCTGGCTCACCACCGACATAAAGACCGGCCTCACGACCGCCGAGGTCGAGGCTCGCCGCAAAAAGACCGGGTACAACGAGTTGGCAACGGAAAAAGAAAACATGTTTCTGAAGTTTATCGGTTATTTCAGAGGGCCAATTCTATATGGTATGCCCACAACCACGCATTGACCATTTCAAGCTCAACGCATTGCTCCTAACTCTTCTCTAGTCATGGAAATCGCTGTGCTCCTCGCTGCTGGTCTACGAAACTGGATTGATTTTGGTGTTATTATTGGTATCCTTATGCTCAACGCCATCGTTGGATGGTATCAGGAAAAACAAGCTGCCGATGTTGTCGCATCTCTCAAGGGTGACATTGCCATGAAGGCAATTGTCGTGCGAGATGGTAAAGAGCAAGAAATCAAAGCCCGTGAACTCGTCCCTGGTGATATTGTACGTGTTTCTTACCCTCTTCCACTTGATTGGCACGTTGGCTGACATTTTCTAGCTTATTCTCGAAGAAGGTATGGTCGTTGCCGGCGAGGCGCGTCTGATCTGCGATTATTCCAACCCTGCTGGTTTTGCCGAATACACCAAGATGATCGAAGATCCTGAAGAGCATTTCTCCAAGAACCACACGGATTCAGACGAGGACGAGGACCATCACGTTGGCGCATCCATCGTTGCTACCGATCAATCCGCAATTACCGGAGAGTCTTTGGCTGTTGACAAATTCATGGGAGATATTTGCTACTACACGACCGGTTGCAAACGTGGCAAGGCCTACGCAGTCGTCACTGAATCCGCGCGTGGCTCCTTTGTGGGCAAGACAGCTTCTTTGGTTCAAGGGGCTACCGATTCTGGTCACTTCAAAGCTATCATGAACTCGATCGGTACCGCACTGCTCATTCTGGTGGTCTTCTTCATTCTCGCGGCCTGGATTGGTGGTTTCTTCCACAATCTCAGACTTGCAACTCCGGAATGGTCCTCCAACAATTTGCTGCATTACGCTTTGATCCTCCTTATCGTTGGTGTTCCTGTCGGCCTTCCCGTTGTTACTACTACTACCCTGGCTGTCGGAGCTGCCTACCTCGCCAAGCAAAAGGCCATCGTCCAAAAATTGACCGCAATTGAGTCTCTAGCTGTGTGTCACACCCGGGGCTTCAACTTTGACCATTGCTAACCTGTTTCAGGGTGTGGATGTTCTCTGCTCCGACAAGACCGGTACCCTTACAGCCAATCAGTTGACTATCCGTGAGCCGTATGTTGCCGAAGGTGAAGATGTCAATTGGATGATGGCCTGTGCTGCCCTTGCATCTTCTCACAACCTCAAATCTCTGGACCCCATCGACAAAATCACGATTCTCACCTTGAAGCGCTATCCAAAGGCTCGCGAGATCCTGCAACAAGGCTGGAGAACTGAAAAGTACATCCCCTTCGACCCTGTCTCCAAGCGCATCACCACCATCTGCACACTCAAAGGCGAGCGTTGGCAATTCGCCAAGGGTGCACCGAAAGCTGTTCTGGCAATTGCCGAGTGTGACGAAGCTACTTCGAAGCATTACCGTGACACTGCAGCCGACTTTGCACGCCGTGGTTTCCGTTCCCTCGGTGTCGCCTCGAAGCGAGGAAATGAACCGTGGAAAATTATCGGAATGTTGCCCATGTTCGATCCACCTCGGGAAGACACTGCACACACCATTGTCGAAGCTCAAAACCTCGGTCTCAGCGTCAAAATGTTGACTGGCGATGCCATTGCCATTGCAAAGGAAACGTGTAAGCTGCTGGCTCTCGGAACGAAGGTCTACAATTCCCATCGCCTAATCGCGGGTGGTATCGCTGGTACAACTCAGTACGATCTTGTTGAAAAGGCAGATGGTTTCGCCGAAGTCTTCCCGGAGCACAAATACCAGGTCGTCGAGATGTTGCAACAGCGTGGTCATCTTACTGCCATGACGGGAGAGTAAGTCTGCTCACTAGCTGAGATGGTGTTCTTGCGGTTAACTATCTCTAGTGGTGTCAATGATGCTCCGTCGCTAAAGAAATCTGACTGCGGTATTGCCGTCGAAGGTGCCACCGAGGCCGCTCAGGCCGCTGCCGATATCGTCTTCCTCGCCCCAGGTCTCAGCACGATCGTCGATGCCATCAAGGTTGCGCGTCAGATCTTCCAACGCATGAAGGCCTACGTTCAGTATCGTATCGCTCTCTGTTTGCACTTGGAACTGTACCTCGTCTCGTCCATGATCATCATCAACGAAACCATCCGGTCCGAGCTGATTGTCTTTATCGCTCTGTTCGCTGATTTGGCCACCATCGCCGTCGCCTACGATAACGCTCACTACGAACCTCGTCCCGTTGAGTGGCAGCTGCCCAAGATCTGGGTCATTTCCGTTGTTCTCGGTATCCTCCTCGCCCTCGCTACCTGGGTTCTCCGCGGCACTTTTTACCTTCCCAGTGGTGGACTTGTCCAGAATTTCGGTAACATTCAACTCATGTTGTTCTTGGAAGTTTCCTTGACGGAAAACTGGCTCATCTTTGTCACTCGTGGTGGAGAGACATGGCCATCGTGGAAACTCGTCGGCGCTATCTTCTTGGTCGATGTTCTCTCCACCCTCTTCTGTGTCTTCGGCTGGCTCTCAGGTCACGAACATCCAAGTGCCACCAACCCAGCTGGCACGTTTGTTGAGTCAGCAAATGGTGATACGTCCATCGTCACTGTCATTGTTATCTGGCTCTACTCTATCTTCGTCACCGTCGTCATTGCCCTTGTCTATTACCTGATGGTGGGCATGAAATGGCTTGACAACCTTGGCCGTGCCAAGCGAAGCGTCTCGGATACCAACATGGAAAACATTCTCGGTCACCTCAGCCGCATTGCATTGGAGCACGAGAAGGACGTGCATGGCAACACAAAATGGGTCTTGGGTACCCGGGCTACTGGAGAGGAGGAAGAAGAGTAAATGTGATAGCAAAACTAGAAGAAGCACGGGCGAATGGAGATATCTGCCGAGCTTGGCAATTTCTGTAATTTCTTTATTGCGAAGACGGTGTTGGTGGCGGTGGTGCTTCAGTTTTATCCACTATAGCTCGTACAGTGGCCAGCATTTCATACATAGCCATTGAAAAACATGCTTCTCATTGTAGGCGTATTGACGTGTTTTGGTTGTTAATCCTTTAGCATTATTTCCATGCCGATGATCAGACATCCATCCAACTTTTTTACCCTAACCCTTCGCAACAAGCAAATTATAGCATAGCCTCAGATGCTCAACTGCAACCATCTTTTCCTCGCTGCTGAATCGTCAGCTCGAAAACAAGATGTTGAGAGAGCAATGGAAGCTTAGCGGGCGATGATGCCATGATCATCAAGTCTCTCTCTCTTCTTCACAACACCAAGAAAACGATGCCCTCCGCTCAACTTTAATAGACCTCCCCCTTTGGGCTTTGATGTAAACATGTGCGTGCCTTTGTTGCTCGCACTGAGCACGCGCCCACAACATCCCCTCGAACCATGGGCATTGCTGTGAGCTGAGACACGACACGAAAAGCGTTTTGCTCGGCTTTTGGGTACGCTGGATGCGTGTGTGTTCATGATCCGCTCTCTTCTGCCTTTTGTCTTCTGCCCTTCTGCCGTCTTTCGTTTTGCGCTGTTTGGTCCTGCATGTTTCTTGCTCTTGAAATGTGTGCTGTTTGCGCTCTCCATGGCTGATGTTAGAGAAAGAGAGCCCTCGGCCCCTCCCCTTCTCCTACTAGTATGTGAGGGAGAACAAGTTTGCCTTTTTGGTCCGCAAAAACTGCTCATGGCAGTATCTGTCGATACTCTAGTACAGCTTCCTCGATTATTAAGTGGACGTCGATTACGGAGTCCTGGTGGGGAGAGTTGCAAGAGCTGTGTCTATCAGGATCTAAACTTGGCCACCAAAGGCCCCTTCATTACTGAAGTGTACATACTTCGCTCAAACTTTCTCTACCGTTCTAGCTTCCTTGCCATTACTCTTTCTTTACCAGCTGTGCCTGAAGCCACGAGTGTCAAGTGTCAAGTGCCCATTACGTTGCTTCCATCCGCTGCAGTCTTGTTCTCGGATTACGAACACGATAAATATGCTTACATTCTCCTCTATCTATCTCCTTTTGAGGTTTGTTTTCTGCACCGACTCGAGACAGCGCAGCGCAGCTTCTCCCCCGCCCGAGGTCAAGTAGGGCAGCTGGCTGGAAACTCAAAGAAACATGCTGAGAATTAAGATAAAATACTAACGGGATGAGAGTAAGGGTAACCCTCCCCCAGCGCCACCGTGTCCATATCCGTCTCAGGATTAGATGTCGTGACCGGAGCGGATGAGACGGTGTTCTCGGTTTCCCGGGGCCGAGGTTCAGGCAGGAGGCGAAAATTGTCGCTGTGACGGGTGTCCTTCGTGTCGAGGTGCTGAGGTTGAGTGATGTTGCTGCTGCTGCTCGTAGGAATTCAGAGGGGTTGGCCGATCTCGACACGGTGAAGGCTGGCGGAGTGGGCGTTGGGAGTGTCGTTGGAGGGGAAAAGGTGGGCGGGGGGAGGAAGAGCATCTAAGGCAAGGCCATCTCTCATCTGTTCGGTTACGAGGCAGTCAAGCGGGGAAAAGGGTCATGGTGAATTTGGTCGCGATTGGAAGGCAGGGCGCTGGGCGTGGTCATCACTAGCTCACCCGTCTTGTATTCGGAGGGGGAAAGGACGAAACCAAACGACAGGAAAGAAACAGAGGCAGGTGGATGAACTGACTTGGTCAGGCCGGAAATGCTCTTCTACACAGCCCTGACTCATCTATTTAAGTGACGGCTCATGAATCCAGCCGTGAAACCGATACGGTTATTTCATTCGACTAACTGACTTACCAGCAGATCAGTATCGCTGATCATTTTCTTTTGCATCGAAAGAGCTCTCACACCGCCACCCTATCAACACGATGCCCTCGAACAAACCTCCCGCGTTAACCAACCTACGAAATCTCCTTCCTCAGCGCATCCCCATCCTCGTCCCTCTCAACCCACCACAGAAACCCACAAGCCCCACTCACCAACGCAGCCAAGCACGGCAAACCCCTGACCAGCAGAAGACGCAATGACAGGCACCTGACCATGGCTACAAATACAATCGAGATGAGCAGGGCGAGCACCATCGTCGCGGTGAGGAGGGCGAATTCCTCATCAAGGATCTCGTGTGGATCGGGGGCGGGGAGATGGTGAGCGGTTGGTGGATGGTCAGGGGCTGGATGTTGCCGCTGCGAGTGGTTTTGGTTTGGAGGGTGGGGGTGCGCCTGCTGCGCTTCTTCTCCTTCTTCTTCTTCTTCTTCTTTAAGAAGGTCTCGGCAAAGGAGCGTCTTGGTGTGGGGGTGTCAGGAGGTGAGGTGGAGTTTCTGCTGTGAGGTGTGGTGAAGAATCGTTTGGCTTTGGTCTTGAGCTTGAGCTTGAGCTTGAGCTTGAGCTTGAGCTTGAGCTTGAGCTTGAGCTTTGCGCTGCCGGTGGTTGGCTTTAGGGTGGAAGCGGCGCGGGATATGCGTGCTGTGAAGCCAGGTTTCCTTGGTTGGTGTGGTGGTTCCATTGGAGCTGATGTGAAGGCAAGATGGATGAGATGCTGATGGTGACTCCAGGTGCGCTGCCGTATCATAGACTGTCAAGGATCAAAGTCACAGCATATGGGCTGGCTCCTACCCCGGTCATTGAATATGTACAAGCAGGGCCTCTTTGGAACAGGACAATGTCAAACGAAGCATGACCGTCCAAACAAAGGATGCTCTCACAGCATCAAAGGCAGGACAAGGAATATTGTACTGCCGCACAAAGAGTTGGTTATGCTTGTGAGTCTTGGACATGGAAGTGCCTTGATCGGATGGAACAAAGCGGCTTGATTGTGCATATCTCGATACTATATAAACCTGACTCATATTCCTCTTCCAGACTAGTCCAACAGAAGGGGGTTGATTGAAGTGTCTCGAAAAGCATACCATTTTTGGCCCAGAAGATCTCGAGAATGGCAATGAGACAACCCCAGTCTGTAGGAAGCTCAGTGGGTACCCCCTCTCCGTCCCCGGCTGGTTCAGGTGGTGATAAGGCCAATACTTCAGGGGATTCGAAGTCATGCGGTACACGGGGACGTGGTCACGGAGTGCACTGTCTGGAGACGAATGACGGCTCTGCGCATGCCAGCCGGCCCGGCACTTTTCAGCTTTCGCCATCCTCTGACGGCGAGGATAGCGATTGTGAGGGTGGAGTGTCGCTCTCGCCCGGGGCATCTGAGATATCACCGATTGATGAAGAGAAGCCGCTAACCGTGTCCAATTTCAGTTTGCTGCGGTGGCTCCGAGCTGGAGCGAGCAACGATGATGATGAGCTTCTAGCAGACATCCGCAATGCCACTCAGGTACATTTGCCTCGGTCTTCCGGTTCCTCTTTCACTTCTGACTCCGGTTCCTGGGAGACAATATCTTCTGACTCGCCCTGCAACCACGATTCCGGTTCCCCCAATGCCTCAGCATGGCGCTCGGCGTCGTCCGGATCGTGGGCTTCCGGGGAGCGTCGCCTAGATATTTCACGATGGTCGGTAGACTCTTCAGATGCCTACGATTCGGATGGACACTCGTCTAGGACTCTTGAAGAACTCTTCGAGCGCTACGCACGGATATGGGAACGACCTGCTCCTGGTGCACTGTCTGATGTGCCTTCTCTCACCTCTGCGCAAGGAGCGTCGTCTTTTTCGTCAACCGGTCAAACCTCTGACAGCTCGGCGCAAGCTCTTTTCAACTATCTTGAGCGTTGGAGCTGGCCGCTAGAGGATGAAGAGGAGTTCTTTGATGCACAAGAGTTCTTGGGAGAGAGCCATTGAACGCATGCGAGCAATTTCTTGTCAGCGGCCCATTGACGAGGGTTGTACCGGGTCTGCTGACGATGGAGGCTGTACTTCTCTTTCTCTGCCGTCCATGTTATGCTGAGCTGGATCTGTGCCTTTCCTTTGTTGCTGTGCTGGTGATTCCTGGCGGGCTTGCCGTTGATGAGAGCGAGATTGGTTACAGTAGTTGTTGAAGTTGATCCACGCAAAGTGCATTAACTTGGAGCGTGATGCTTTTGACCGGATGGTGAAGTCGTCAAGCCGCAAGGTGTCAAGCCGTCGAGCATGACCGACTCGACTGCTTAAGTAGCTGGTACCTGATGTTGAAATGTTGAATCTATCCGGCTACTCTTGCTCAAGGAGTGCGACAGAGAGGGCAGACTAGGCCCTGGAGAAACAAGAATGACGTCTTTCCCCCGGGTTTCTCCCCCGAGTCACTCCTTCCCTAGTTAGAGTTATCTTACTTAACACTAAACAGCAACAACATGTGGCGAGTTTCATAAAAGAGGGAAGGAGTTATCTGTATCTGTAAAAAACCGGGCAAGTACCGATCCAACGCTATACTTTCCATAGAAAAGAGATATTGCAGCTTTTCACTCCCCACAAACTTCATTTTCCGTGAGTTGAGTTTATTTCATCTCGTTCTTCTTCATGGCTGCAGCAGGCCGTCTTAGTGACGCGAGATGCAGGTCACGATGTACTCTGATGTCCAACTTGTCTTATGCTAGAACTTCCCGCTCTGCTTTCTTTCTTCGATCCCGCCGGGCTGGCCATGTTGACTTCTAGATTAAGTACTCCAAGCACAAATGATATCCTGATTTTTTGTCTCTCCCCAGCATCACAAACATTCCACCACTGTCTCAAGTCTAACTAGTACCACCAAATGCGAGTCTACGAGACCCTCCATCAAGTACACTTGCAATGGCACTCTCAGACTACCACAACCAGTCTACTTCCCTATCCAACGAGCGGCCATCGCACTCTCCCATTAAAAGCCACGCCTTGACCTCCAATCTCCTCACCCACCGGCAATATGCTACAGACCACATCTTGCAATCCTACGAAATCTACATCCCATCTCCTCCCTTACAAACCTCCCCTGCCCCCAACCCACTAACCCCGACCGAAGGCTCCGATAATAAAAACAAAAACGCAATCTGGCTAATCTTCATCCACGGCGGCGCCTGGCGCGACCCCACCATCACAGCACTGAACTCCTTCGTCCCGACCCTCACCCACCTCCTCACCTCTCCACCCCAACCCCAACCCCCC